CTGAGTGGGGGAAGGTTTAGGACAGGCAAGAGAACTTACTTCTTCACACAATGTATAGTTAAATTCAGAAATGCATTTCCATGAGAAGTGGGAATGACTGCAAATCTAGGAGGCTTTTAAAGGTGGATTTGGCAGATTCACGGAGGAGGAAGCGATCTTGGCTATGTGCTCCCTCCTTCCCCAGAGGTGACAGGCATTCATGCATCAGCTGTTTAGGGGCTTAGCAGGAGGGGGTCTCACCCCCATCCTTCTGGAGAGACCCTTGTTGACTCAGACCAAGCTGTGCAAAATTTCCACAATTTCAGCTTCAATTTCTTTATAATCCAGCTCGATTATGATTGTGAGTAATACTATTTTCATTTCTATACTGCTCTGTAGCTGCAGCTTTCTGGGAAGCTTATAACAGTCCATAAAAACAAGACAATAACATGCAACAAAAAATGTATTCATCCTTCCCATCTAGATTGGTGACCTGAAGGAACGTCTCCTTCCTTGTACGCCCTCATGCATCCCTCAAGATCTGCGGGAGAAGCCTTGGTCCAGGAACCCTCTCTAAGAGAGGTAAAAAGGTCATCAATTCGGGGTAGGGCCTTCTCTGCAGTGGCACCCAGACTCTGGAATGCACTTTCCAGAGAGGTATGCCTGGTGCCAAGCACCAGGCCAAAACCTTTTTATTTAAACAGTATTTTAAACTTTAATAGTTTTTAAGTTTAGTCACTCTGTTTGTTTTGGGATATATTGTTTCGTTCTGTTTTATTATTTATTGAAATTGTTGTTTTAATTGTCTTTTTAAATATTGTAAGCTGTCCTAGGATCTTGTATAATAGGACAGCATATGAAAGCTTTTAATAAAATAAATAAATAAAGTTACGAATGACCTGGATGAGGGTGAAGAAATGGGAGCGTGTTTCAGGCAAGAGAGTGGTGAATTGAAGAAGAGAGTTCGAAGATCAGGGGTTCTGATGGTGCTGCAAGGGACGCATAACCCTTGAAGGGTCAGTTGCAGGTTACAAATTTACACCACCCCACTCACAACAGCCCTGTAAGGTAGTTCAGCCTGGGCGAGAGTGACTGGCCCAAGAACACCCAGTGAGCTTCCTGGCCGAAGCAGGGATTTGAACCCAGGTGTCCGAATCCGCATCAAGCATTCAAAGCATTGCATCAGGACCAGGAGAAGGGATCCATTCCCTCCCCTCCCCTCCCCTTTTCACCCAGCTTGGACAATGCAAACCACCCTGCAGAATGTCCGTCTGCAAGCCAGAACACACCCGTAGGCCCCCCTTTTCAAGTTTCTGAAGGGAGATAGCTGCAGAAAGCAACCCCAAACAAAGGGCAGTCACAGAAAAGTGGCGTGTTTGTCTCAGCTGCGGTAGCAGTGGAACATGGAAGAGGCAGCGTGGATGCACCCTGCCGACCGGAGCCGAGGGTCAGGAAGCCACTTCAAGGTCCAGGTGTGCTTTGCGAATACTCTATGGGAAAATAAAGGCCGTGTTTCTTTCAGAGAAACGATCAATACAAGGGAGAATTCAGCTGGAAGCAACCCTTGATAACCCGTTCTGAAAGTCCAGCACTTTTCTTGGCCGATGGGGACCGGGGGGGATGCAGGCACCCTTGCTGGGTCGATTGGAAGAACGTGGGAGGGGCACGGGAAGCAGCCGCTGAGCAAACCTCGATTTCTACATTGGTTGTCCGGTCTGAAATATGCCTAGGTAGGCACAGATTCAGCTCTGTCTGTGCTTCATGGACTTTCAGGTATTTCTCCTTCCATCATCCACTCACGGATGGAATCAGATTAAATTTTAACCAATATTTCCTACCACTTGTGCAAATTTGCAGCAACACTGACACATACCTGAGAACTGGCACCAATGCTCACTTGTACTAAAGCGCTAGTGCATATTTGCCCTGAAACTCCCGTCTGGTGGAGATGCAGCCAGAGATGAGGCAGAACGTGGACACTCGCTCCAAGTCCGGGCGCCCTTCCGGCTCTTGCAGCCGCCCAGGTGGCCATGGGGCTGGGCTTCGGGGACAAGGAAGGGAGAGGCCAGGCGAGGCGAGGGTCTCAGCAATGCCCCCCTCTCCACGTGCTCCGTGGCCAAGCACTTTGACAGCTGGAATGGGCTCTCGAAATCTTCTGCTGGGTGAGAGGTAAACAGAAGTGACTTTGCTGTCTCTCCTCTCCTTCTGGGCATCCGGTGTGTGGAGCCCCTGGACCGGGAGGGTCACAGCCGGCCTTAATGGACCATGACCTCCAGTGGTTTTTGGTAAAAAAAAAAAAAAGGTGCCGGAATCACGTCTTGGGGTCACACTTTTACACAAAGGTTGCCGCCGGCAGTAAGCACTCGGCGCGCAACCACACGACCGATCCCAAGCCGAGCAGCGTCCCAAGCCGAGCTGCGCCCTCACAATCAGCGCTGACACACAAGCAGCCCGCAGGCACTAGGTTAATGATTTTTGCTGCCGATCTGCTACGCCCGACAGGGCGATTCACAATCACTTGGAAAAATCCGTCAAAAAAAGGTGCCGGAACACCGTTCTGGTGCGTTCTGTGACGAAATAAGCCCTGGTGAGCTCCATTTGTAGCTGGCCACTTTCAGGTTGATTTGACTGAAAATCCAGGCCGAGCCCGTAAAATGAGGTGAGTACAAGCCCCGTGTGCAAGCTGCTCGCCCCACCGCGCAGGAGATGGGCGTGAGGTGCGGAGGAGCCTAGTTCTGCCGCTGGCTGAGCTGGGGGTGAGATGCAGAGGAGATGTGCCCGGGGTCTCTTTGCAAAGGAATAGCTCCCGGGGTGCCGCGGTCACGGAGCTGTTCCCAGGCAGAACTCTCCAGCCCACTTTGGGCACGGTGAAGAGCTCCCAGCCAGAAAAGCCACTGGTGAAGCTGTGTTACACGAGGGCACTTTTCATGTCATCAAGATGCTGAGGAGCGTCACCCTGAGGAGAGGAGAGGAGAGGAGGAGGAGGAGAGAAGAACCGAAGGTGGATCTTCTCTGGGCATTATTTATTTATTTATTTAAAACATTTTTATGCCGCCCCCCATCACAATGAAGCCTCGAGGCGGCTCACAACAGAAACAAAATACATAAATACATAACAATATAACAATAAAAAAATCATTTAAAAACCTCCGGTGCATCTCGACTAAAAATTTAAAAGCCTATAAATACAAATAATTTAACAATTAAAATAAGTTTTAAATAAAAAGGTCTTCGCCTGGCACCGAAAAACAAATAACGACAACGCCAGGTGGACCTCTCTGGGGAGCGCATTCCATAGATTGGGCGCCACCGCAGAGAAAGCCCTCCTCCAGGTACTCACCCTCCTAATATCATTCACAGAGGGTTCCCGGAGAAGGGCCTCTGCGGCTGATCTGAAGGGGCGGGAGGGCATATATGGATGCAAGCGTTCCTTTAGATATCCAGGTCCCAAGCCGTTTAGGGCTTTATAGGTCATAACCAACACCTTGAATTGGGCCCGGACTTCAATCGGGAGCCAGTGGAGCTGACAGAGAACTGGGGTTATATGAGAACAACGCCCAGTCCCCGTCAGCAACCTGGCAGCTCTATTCTGCACCAACTGAAGTATCCGGACCGTCTTCAAGGGCAGCCCCACGTAGAGCGTGTTGCAGAAATATAATCAGGAAGTCACCAACACGTGTGTCACTGTCGCCAGGCAGTCGTTCTCCAGGAAGGGACGCAGCTGATGGATCAGCCGAAGCTGAAGGAAGGCGCTCCTCGGCACCACCGTCACCGGAGCTTCTAGAGACAGCTCAGGGTCGAGGAGCACTCCTAAGCTCCATTAGAGGGCATCTGAAAGCTGAGAAAGCTTTCCCTGCTCCTTGGAATGCTCCCCAAGGCCACAGCGGTGTTTCGGACATGGAACAAATTGGATCACATCAATTTGCAAAAGGCCATTAGTCTGCTCTGGAGCAATTGCGGTGCAACAGAGCTGCCAGCTCAGTCGGATAAACCGGGAAGCAGGGAGAGGCCCTTTGCTCTGGTCTGCTGTTTATTTGCAAAACAGCCAGGGAGGCTGCGGCGCGGACTCTGCCAAGAGGAAATCTATCTGGAAAAACATGTGAAGCGTTTACAAACAAATTAAGGGGAGGCAGAGAGACGGAAGAGCAGGGGAAGGTGCAGGGTTGCCCGCAGCAGGTTCCCTTGGCAGGGCAAGACCTCGCTTCCTTGCAAACAAGAGGGACTCTGGAGTGCATTTGCTATTCACGTGTTGCTGCCCTGGCAGAGCCGTCTCCACCAGGATGCGTCATCCTGCTTGCATCAGTGCCTTCTGGAAATACGTAGCTGCATCAGTGCCTTGGGAACAGCCCCCTCCCCGCAGTCTGGTGGTTTGCTTGCCTAGCTATCAAATTAATTAGCTACGGATGGCTTGGTCTAGGACAGCGTGGCAGTTTAATACATAAACACCGCTTTTCTGCTCACGGATGATGCAGATAGTCTGTCTTCTGTCCAAGCAGCCCTGTAATGACCCGGGCGATGGTGGGTGGCCTCAGGGCAAAGAGCACAGCGCAATTCCCCGAGCGTCTCTTCTCGTGGCTTCTCCTGCTCAAAGTGCGAGAATGTTGGCGACAGAAGGCAAGCAGCAGTCCGGCCTAACGGAGACTGCAGGGCTTTGTTACACTGAATTGCGGCATCGGGCAGAGGCTTGCAAAAGGTGGAAACTGTCGGGAAGCCGCAACAGCAGCCGCAACAAGGATACCCAGGCTCAGTCAGGAAGGACCCCTTTCCCCTTGAACCTCGGTGGTTTTATTGAAAGATCACCCAGGCCCCCTGCAGTGACGTATGACAGCAGGATCCCGGGCCGTGGTCCTCACCGCCAACTACAAAATCACAGCCCATGTACAGACACTATTACAACCTGCTAGTCACATACACCAATACAGAGTGTTAAGTTTCCAGATGATCTTGGTACAATAGCATCCTGATGTCTTTAGTCATGATATAATGTTCCAAACCGATCAGGAATACTGGTAACAATAGTACGGAAAACATGACTGATTGCTTTATTAACATGTCAGTTCAATAGATTCAGTAGGTTTCTTTGCGGTTTGGATCCTGCTTAAACAGGCAGATGGGTCCGATGGTGGAACCGTTCAGGAAATCTGGTTTGGCAACTACACTGGGCAGGCACTTGCCTCTGTGGAACTAGATGCTTAGGTGGAACCATTCAGAAACAAATGGACACCATTGTTTCAGTGATGGGAACACAGGTATTTCCTCACTGATAATGTTACCTGCAGCAGCTTCTCAGTCCAGTTAAGAATGCCATCATCTTAAAGGGACAGCAGCACTAAACAATGACCTGGCTTGGAATTCTGGTGCTTTCTGAGAAAGGGGTGCAGGTTTGATTTTATAACACAAAGGCCCATATAAGCAACCCTTTTCTGCCAGGATTTATTTGAATTTTCCCAACAAAATGAAGCATCTTTTGGTCTAGAGAGAGGACATGGAGTCTTTTTTGTTGTGTCCTCCCTGCAGCAAGCAGATGGGCACCTCGCTTTGCACCTGGCTTCACACACCTTCCCACAGGTCCACTCCAGGGGGTCTTGGAGTCAGGGCAGTGAGGCCTCCCTTCCATCTTTATCCAGAGGAGACAGTGCTACCTGGATGGTGGCATATGCCGAATGTTCTTCTTTATTGCTTTGCTTGGGCCTCTGGGAAACACGGGGTTCCTTCAGGTCGGCATAGACGATCTCTTTATCAGCCGAGACCTGCAAGAAAAGGCACGTGAACTCCTTTCTGGGGACATTAAACCCGAAGTGGTCTGTGCTGCATGAGCATGCAGAAAACCTGCAGGCTGTGATCTTGGAGGCTCGGTACAACCTCCTGCAAGCCCCAGCTCCTTAAGCAAAAAGGGGCAAGTTTCTAGTCCTTAAGATTACAGAAAGTGATGGGCCTACATTAGAAAAATTCAGAAGCCAGAGTGGAGATGCAACTCGGGAGTGTCACCCAGCCCTCCCTACCAAAGGGGTTCTTCAGACCTGGCAGAGAAGAAACACAATGAATACATCCAGCTGCCTACTTGAAGACTAGCAGAGCAAGACTTGTGTGAAATACAAAAAGCAGCTGCATAAAAGATGCCTCACAAGAGAAAATGAGAGTAATTTATACAGATAGCCAGCTATTGTTGCTGCAGAATTTCATTATTTTCACATGGAGCGCTTAGCCCTAGTTAAATCCATGCCCCATTCACATGAAGCAGCAGTGATGAATAAAACTTGCATGAAGAGGCCATTCGTACAGTTTCTTGTCAGCTAATTGCTGCCCAGTTGGTAGGACAATGTCAGACGGACAGGCAGACGACACCGGTCTTTAATGCTGTATCATTTCCCTCAAAAGCAACCAGCCCCTTCCTGAGGCACAGAAACATCTTCAAAATTAGATGGTGGTGAAGGTGCGCTCGCTCGTGATGGCTTACGGCTGCTCAAAGCCGTGGGAGTTTACATCATAAGTGTTTACATCATCAGTGAGTTTACATAGCTCAACACTTCGAAAGTTGACCTTGGCCAAAGAGTAGGAGACAAATTTCAGTTTGTGCAACCATGTCCTGGGAGGTTTGATGTTTCTTTAAAAATTTCTTTTATAAGTCACTATATTAGGAAATCATTAATGTCGGTGTGGGAAAAGTTAAAGACAACATTGTATAATAAATTACCAAGATGGTTTTCACCTATGGAAGCTCTTGTATATCCAAATGCATTGAACTTTGAAGGGATCATAAGATATGATGACATTTTGGATAATGATGGAGGATTGAAATTGAATCAAGAAACACAAGAACAGGGATCTAATATTTCTTGGTGGCATAAGGTGCAGATAAAATCAAGATATGCTAAAGACTATAAAATGTGGGGCTTTTATAAAGATTTAACAGCATTTGATCAGGTGATGCTTAAATCAGATGAGAAAATGATCAAAAGACTATATAATTTCTTATTCAATAGGAGAATGGAAGATGAACAGATTAAGGAAACCATGATAACATGGGCACAAAACTTTGGATATAATATTGAATTAGAAAAATGGCAAAAGCTGTGGGAGAGAAATATTAAGGTAACATTAGCTACTTCGTATAAAGAAAACCTATATAAAATGTTTTATAGATGGCATCTGTCGCCAAATAGATTAGCTAAGATGTTTCCAAATATGTCAAATGGATGTTGGAAATGTAAACACAAATTGGGTACTTTCTATCATATGTGGTGGACTTGTGATAATGCGAAAAAGTATTGGATTAAAATACATAAATGGCTTGAGGAAATGCTACAAAAATCCCTAGCTTTTAAACCTTAAGTCTTCTTATTAGGCATTATACCTGTTGATATACCTGTTGAAATAACGACAGCGCCCCATCTATGGAATGCGCTCCCCAGAGAGGTCCACCTGGCGCCGTTGTTATTTGTTTTTCAGCGGCAGGCTCAGACCTTTTTATTTCTGAAGATTGATGTTGTTCTTAGTTTTTCTTTTTTGTAGGGTTATTTTGAATAAAACTCATTAAAAAAATCCACAGGGTTGGTTCTCTCCTACTTAACTTGTAGGTTTGCAAATGTACTAACATTAAAAAGCCATTCTAATGTTACTTTTTCCCAGGGAAAGGTTGTTACTACGAGTCTCTGCTCCCCAGGTTTACCGCCCTGGCTGTGGGCTTAAGGTTTTCTGGAATCCCAAGGAAAGCAATATGTCAAGTCAAGTGTTGCTTACAAGGTGAAAAGCAATTTATTGTGCACAAATAGAAGTCAACTCGCTTGCAAAGTGCTTAGCAGCAATTCCTTACAACGCACCATGGACAGTCAGGAAAGGCTGCCAGAGATGAGCTCTGAGCACGGAACCATGGGCTTGGTCGAGTGATATAAGCTGGTCACTAGCCAGGCTATATCTGCCCCAGGCTTGGTTTCAGCATTGTAAGCTGCCTAGAGAGCCCTCAACTTATGGGGCAGCACTGAAGTTGAACAAAACAAATAAATCAAATAATAAATACTAGCCATTAAGTGAGTTTTAACGAACCGTTGGCATGGCATCCCACTGTTTGCAACAGGGGCCCTCAAACATTTCGAATAGGAGGCTGGTTGAAAGGCTGCGGTGACCGTCGCGGGCCGGTGAGGTGCTGTGGGGCGCGCGCGAGGCGGCCTCGGGCATGCGCGGCGGTGGCTCGCTCACTCGGAGGTCTCCCAGCGAGGCCAAAACCACCTCCGAGTGAGCGAGCCACCCCTGCCCCACGCTGCGAGGCAGCGGCGAGCGCGCGCATACAGGAGGCAGGCGGTGGCGGCTTGCTTGCTCAGAGGCCAGCAAGCGCGTGCGCAGGCAGGGAACGGTGGCGCAGGCCGGACGGAAGGCCATGGCAGACTGGATCCGTCCCGCGGGCCGTAGTTTGAGGACCCACAGTTTACAACATCCTTCCCAATAACGTAAGCGTGTGAACTTATCCGCCTCAATGTGCTACAAAGGGGTGTTGGTGTGACAGGCGCAGTTCACAACCTCCTGGCCCGGCTGACATTTGAGCAGCTAATTAATCGGCAGGTGGAGGCTAATACGGCAGGCAGGCCCCGGTCTTTGACCCACTGACACTCACTGACAGCACTCAAAGCAGAAGCTGCAGATGCAGGGAGGAAGAGACGGACGCAGGGGTACCAAAGCCCACAGGAGGGAAGCGGGGAGCACGTTTCTGCATCATTGCCTGTACCTGATTAGTGGCAGCTCCGTCGACGGGAAGGGTGTCTTCCGATCTGGTGGAGAGGAAGCACAGAGAATGCAACTGAAGCCCCCCCAGCGACTACCTGTATTCTCGCATCTCTCCAAGCCTTCGCAACTTATCTAAGATTGTTTATAGCTGAGCCGTGTTCTCCCCTCCCTTCCCCACCCCACACAGATGCGCTGTCTGGAAAACCCAACACTTCTGCCCTGTGATGAATTTCACAAAAGTGTTCGATGCAATGCAAAAGAATGTGCTTAATTTGTCATTAACTTCTTTGTATGCTTTATTATGAGCCAGAAATTTGGCTTTTCACAGGACTGTGGGGGCAGCGAGGAAGGGGAGCTGTTGCAAGGAATAATCAGCCCAGCGCTCCGTGCTGGCTGGGGAGCGAAGGGAGCTGCGATCCCGTTCCCAGCTGGGGAAGGGCTGCGCTTGACAATCTGCAGAGTTTTTGAAGAAGGGGCAGTGGGGAATCTTAAAAAAGGAGAATGGGAACAAAGCCTTGAGGCAGAAGCAGGGGGGGGTGGGCGGGGGGGCGTGCGGGGGCTAAAGGGGGGGGGGGGGGGGGGGGCTTTGAGGACACTGCTGCCAGTTGGCAGCCCATCAATGTGGACAAGAAACTTGCTTTCTGAAGAGAAAGTTCTGCACCTGCGACCAGGATCTGTGCACAAAATGAAGATAAAGTTTGCAAAGGGGGAGAATTTAGGGTTAGGGTTGGATGCCACAGGTGTTTAAGTGAGTCTCTCAGTGCAATCCTGTACCTGTCTGCTCTGAAGTGAGCCTTTGGGGTGCAATATGGCTTTCTCACAGGCAGGTGAGACCAGGATTCCACCATTAAATGCCCGGGATTTTGCATCTTCCTTACAGAAGAAGAGTAAAAGAAGCAGATATGGACAATGGAATATGCTCCCCAGAGAGGTTCGCTGGTGCTGGCATTATGTTCTTTTTGGCGTCAGGCAAAACCCTTTTTATTTTCCCGCTATTTTAATATTTAATTGATTTTAACTGGGGTTTTAGTACATTAATGGTCAGATGCTGTGGGGTTTGTTTTATTCTACTTATTTATTGTAAGCCGTCCTGAGGCACTTGTAGAGGATGGGATAGAAAAGCTTTTGATTGATAGATAGATAGATAGATAGATAGCCCCCAAATCCCATCCATTTTATTATTAGCCACGTGAATAATTCCCCTTCAGTTTCTCTGCTGCTGCCTCTTAAGAGGCACTTTCCTGGCCACCTTTCAAGGCCTTTCCATCTCTGAAAGCCTTTTGGCCCCTGCATTTTCAACGGCTGCCTCTTCGCCGCACGGCGAGGAAAGCACCAGTCATCCATGCAGGGCCCAAGGGGTGGAGAAGGATTTCCGCTCGTCGGGATCCCTCCTGGGGTGCCGCAGCATCAAGCGGTCAGGGAGGGCGGGTACGGGTTGGCTTGGCGGCTTGACGCTCGGGGCATCTTTTCCCTTCCCACTGTCATTCTGAGCTAAACCCACCCCAAAGCTCCTCCTTGCAGGAGTGCCTCGGCCCGTACCAGCCCACCCACCACCAAGGAAGATTAGGGCAACCTCCTGCCCAGGTGTCTCAGGTGCGTTCGGCATCACGAGGGACGGGACATCTTGCGAAGGGCCCAACCGTGACTGCTGTCCCCGTAAAGCTGCAGTCGATGCAGCCACCTTAGCATGGACTCGGAGCCTTTCCTTTGCTGGGGACTCCGTGGATTTGTTTACACTATTCGCTGATTTCTTTCTTTGAGGGCGAGGATGAGTTTCTTTGGCTGGTGGCATTTTGTTATGATAATACTTGTACCAGGCCCACCACCTGGAGAAAGGGCAGCTGGAAAGCATTTAAATAAGTAAATGCACCTTTTGAGGCAGCTGTGGGCGGAGGGAGGAAAATAGCAGCTTTGAGGAGAAGCACTTTGGTTAGGCAAATAATGGTGTGCCAGAAGGACAAGAGTCCGACTTCCTCCGGTGCCGCTGAGCCACTTGCGCTAAGAAGCCTTTAAGAGCAGGTGCTTTAAAAGCAGAAACCAGCATCTCAAGCGAGCGCTGAACCGGGCCCTCTTTCCCCCCGCATCATTTGACTCAGACAGAATGAAAGTAAATTTGGCCAAGGGAGAGAGGCCGTGCCCATTGCAGGATCCGGCCCTTCTTGGAGGGGTCGACTTGGGTGGTAACCTACCAGGCGCTGTTTGACCTTGTGAGTTGCTTGCAGAGCCGTTGCTTGTTCTGGCCCAGATAACATTTAGGGTGAGAAGGAGAGGGGAAGATTGGCGGCCAAGCTGCACGTGGGCTCTCTTGCAAGCAGGCAAGTGGCGGGATGGAGGGGATGCAGTGGATGCGGTTTACCTGGATTTCAGCAAGCCTTTGACAAAGTGCCCCATGATATCCTGGTGGAGAAACTGAGGAGTTTTGGGATACACCAAAGCACTGTCCGGTGGATTAGGGCATGGTTGACTGACCGAAAGCAGAGGGTAACCATTAGTGGGGAATCATCGGGATGGCAGCCAGTGACAAGCGGGGTCCCCCAGGGCTCTGTCCTGGGGCCGATCCTGTTTAAGCTTTTTATCAACCACATGGAAGAAGGGGTGAACAGTCTGCTGATCAAATTCGCAGACGACACTAAAACTGGAGCAGTGGCCACAGCTGAGGAGCAGGTACTCCAGATCCAGAAGGATCTGGACAGACCATGGAAGTGGGCAGGAGACAACAGGATGGCGTTCAATGTGGATAAGTGCAAGGTCTTGCACTTGGGGCACAGGAATGGGTGTCATAAGTGCAGGTTGGGGGACAAGTGGCTGGAGAGCAGCACTTGTGAAAGGGACCTCGGGGTGCTGGTTGACTGCTGGCTGAACGTGAGTCAGCAGTGTGATGCGGTGGTCAAGAGGGCGAACGCCACCCTTGGATGCATAGCCAGAAGTGTGGCTTCTAGATCGAGAGAGGTATTACTACCACTGTATACGACTTTGGTGCACCCGCAACTGGAGTATTGTGCTCAGTTTTGGGCCCCTCGTTACAGGAAGGATATAGCCAGGCTGAAGTCAGTGCAGCGTAGGGCCACAAGGCTGGTGGCCGGTTTGCAGGGGATGCCGTATGAGGCAAAACTGAGGGAACTGGGTCTCTTCAGCCTGGAGAAGAGGAGACTCCGAGGGGATCTGTTGGCGACATACAGGTATGTCAGGGAGTGTCACACGGAGGTGGGTCGAGACTTGTTCTCCCCTGCAGAGGAAGGCAGGATGCGTTCCAACACAGCAAAGCTCAGGGAATCCAGGCTCCATCTGGATGCCAGGAAGCACTTCCTGGCAGTCAGGGCCCCGAGGGTGTGGAATGGGCTTCCCCGGGAGGAGGTTGAGGCCCCATCGGTGCGGGTGCTCAAGGATAGGCTGGACGTCCACATGGTGGGCATGTTGTGAGTGGAGCCGGCTGGAGCTGGGGGGTCAGACTAGATGGCCCACGAGACCCCTTCTGACTCGCTCTATTTCTATGTTTCTATGTTTCTAAGTGGAATTGAGGAGGAGGAGGCAAGTTTGGTGAGAAGGTAAGCCTACCGAGGCAGAGGGGCTCTCCTTGGGGGTGGGGGTGGTGTCTTGCCCAGGCCCTGGAGTCCGCAGTGTTTCCTGGCACAGTGGGCTCTCCATTGTCAAGAGCTTCGGTTTGTGTTTCACCCGGGGGCCCAAGAGCTACGTCGGGCTTGGCTTTGCCTGGTCGGAAGTGGGGCTGCCCCTCCGAAAGAAGCCTTCCCCAATGTAGGCTTCGCAAACAGCCCTTAGATTCCAAAGTAATTTGGCACGTGGCACCAGCAGAGGCTGCTAGAAAAAGCTCGGAGGCTCTCTCTCGCGCGCGCGCGTGTGTGTGTGTACACTGCCTTTGTTCAGTCCAGGCTGTTGTCGTGGGCCAAACAGTCATGGCTCCCCAAGCCCCAAACACCACGTCCCCTAACATGATGAAAAGTTCGCGGAATGACAGCTCACACATACGGACCTTGAGTTGTCGGCTCTGCTTCTGGCTAGATACACACACACACAGAAAAAGAGGGCAGGCTTAGAAATGGGGCTTTCCAATTTCGAGGTTCACATATTTCTTAAATCTGCACCCCTCCTTTCCTCCTAGGACAGCAGGGGAGCCTGCATGGCCGTCCCCCTTCCCGTATTCCGTTTTCTCCTTGCAAGCAGCCCTGGGAAGTCCTCTGGGCCAGAGAGCTCCTTGGCCCAGTGGCGCGCCAGTCCTGGTCCCCGCACGGACCCTTGGGGGAGACCGGGCTGAGAGAGAGCGATGCTCTCGCGTGCTCCCGAGGGTGCGTGGGGAGCTGGGCCTCCACCCTCCACGGCCACTCACCTCGTTTCTTCTTTGCCCAGATGTAAGCTACCGTGAAGAGCAAGGCAGCAAACAGCAGCAGACTGGTGGCCACGGCCACGGCCGTAACGATGAAAACGTCCCGGGCATCTAAAACGGAGCAAGTCCAAAGTCAGGGCTGTCAGACCTTTTGCAGTCTCAAATTCGGGGGCCTTCACAGGGTCTGTGGGGCATACCCCACATCAGGCCTACTGGTGGAAATGGAATTGGGGGACACGGGGCTTTGCTGATCCGGGATCGGGGGCCAACGCAAGGACCATCTGTCTGTGGCAGAGAAATCCACAGCACCGTCAAACGGGTTCCACTTGCCGTGGATCCAATCCATGGATCCTCGACAGACCGGCTGAAATGCTATTTTTTAAAGCTTTCCAGAACTGTATGTAAATACAGTCTTGCAAAAATATAAAACATGCCAACTAAGAATGTGCATCCCCACCTACAGGCAGAAGCTGAACGTGCAGGTCGGGGACGGGGTGTTTTTGGCATTTTCTAGCAAAGCACTCAGAGATTTTATCCTATTAAGCAGTTACGAAGCACTACTAGAAAATAAGTGCATTCAGGAAACGGAGGGGAAAAGCCAGATGCAAACAACAGAATGGAAGACACCTGACGAGCCACAAAACGCAGATGGATCTCACAAAATCCACACAGACATCGTGTCCCTAATTCCCCTGCCCCAGAAAACAAGCGCTGAACACAGTGAAATGATCATTTGTTGTTACTTATCTAGCTATACTGCCCAATAGCCAAAACTGAACGGTGGTAATAAATGCAATAATATAATATACAATAAAACAATACAGCATCCTAAAATTACATTGAAAATTAAAAGCATATTTTTTCAACTAAAAACCTCCCAAGACCGGGTAGCAGACAGGCTATAAAAGTTTTAAATAAGTAAGTAAATAAAACAGACCATTCATCTAGTTCTGCTAAAAGCATCTGGTAATGTCATCCCAAAAGCTTATGTGGTTTTTGATGTTTTAAGGCCTCAGCAAAGAGGCATTAATTAAATTAAAAATTAATTAATAACCTGGCACTGATGGATAGTGAAGTGAGCCCCAGGACCATCTCAATGGGGAGGTCATTCCAGAATGTGGGGGCTACCCCAGAGAAGGCCCTGCTCTGTGTTCCCGCCAGGCCAGCCTCCCTCGAAGGTGGCATCCAAAGTAAAGCCTCAGAGATTGAGTGCAGGGCCCATGGCTGGAAGAAATGCTCCGCCAGGTATTGTGGTCCCAATCCATGGAGGGCATTATAGATTAAAACCAGCACCCTGAATCGTGCTTGCAAGCACTCAGGAAGCATTGGAGAAATCATAAAATCACCCTCTTTTCCTCCCCTCAAATATAAAGGTGAGAAATCTGGCAAGGGATTCTCTGCTCCATTAATTTGGAGGTCAATTAAAGCAATTAACTGATTGTGATGTGCAGCAAGCTTTATTATTGTTCTGCAGAGCGAGCAATCTGCTAAGGAAAAAAGCAGGTTCCCTGAACAAAAGCTTGAACAAAGCTTTTCTACTAGTGGAAACGTCAGATAGGATGACTAGAGGGTCACCCAATCACAAAGAGATATATTTAATCCCAATATATGCAGAGATGGGTCTTCATATCATAACCTAATGGAAACTGCCCAAAATCAGCTTCTTAGTGCATCCCCTGAATTGACACCTGATAAGGGGAGTTATCAAAAGCCCTCCGTCTTGGGCATGGCCAGCTCTTCAATCGTAGGCCCTTCAACGTTTAACCCTTGATGTTCCCTCACTCACTTGCATTTTCTTTCCCCACAGCAGCCAGTGCCAGTGGGCCAGAACCGGTGCTGCACGTTTGGACCTCCTGGTCCCTCTTATTTTGCTGGCTGTCACAGCTCACACAAGCTACAACGTCCAAGCAGTCTTCAAGGGAAGCACCACGAAGGGTGCATTGCAGTAGTCTAGCTCAGAGATTACTGGCGTGTGGATTGTTGAAGCCAGGCTGTCCAGAGCGGGCCAAGCTGGGCCACCAGCCAAAGCTCTGTGCTACTGAGGCCACCTGGCCTCCGGGACAGAGATGGCTCGGAAGCGCCCCCGAGCTGCCGACCTGCTCCTTCAGGGGGAGTGCAACTCCATCCAGGGCAGGCTGAGCACCATGTGTGAATGTGAAAGCTGGGCAGGGGAGGAAGCTGACAGGAAGGAAATGGATGCCTTGGCAACATGGTGGTGGAGGTGAGCCTTGCACAGGCCAAAAGAAAGACTGGATCAGATCCAGCCAGAACTCTCCCCAGAAGCCAGAAAGACAAAAACGGAGCTGCCATCCTTTGGACATATTGCGGGAAAGCAGACTCTGCAGAGAAGTCAATGGTGCTGGGGAAAGTGAGGCAGAAGAAGAGGAGGAGGAGGAGGACCAGCCACGGCATGGAGCATCTCCATCAAGGAAGCCCCAGCCTGGAGTTGAAAGGGGCTGAGCAGGGACCTCTTGGACGGTCTTCCCTGACAGGGCTGCCGTGACTTGGAGATGACCCGACAGCACAATAACCACCCAGAAAGCTTTGGATACTGGGAGAACAGAAATGTAATCGGTCATCAGAGAAACATCGGCTTGCGGGAACCTGTGGGAGAAGCTAGGACAGTCCCCTTGACGAAGCAAGGGTCCGTAAAGCCCCACCTAGCAAGGCCCGGCCTATCCCAGTGCCCCCAGCAGCGCCACGTCCGCCCGCTGCCTCCTCGTTGGGATCCCAGAGAATCCGAGTGCCATGCTGACGGCCCAAGTAGGGACCAAGAGCTTATGCCAAGCTGCACCATGCGCATGTCCTGATGTATATCAATAGATGCACATTTAGAAACCTTTACCATCCTCTAGCTAGAAATCCAACAACTCACAATGGGAAAGGGTGCTAACCTGCGAGTGGCCCCCTTCCAGGCCCTGCTGCTCTTCCACGGTAGGGTTTAGGACAGTGGTGGTGAACCTATGGCACGCGTGCCACAGCGGGCACGCAGAGCCCTCTCTGTCGGCACGCGAGCCCGGTCGCCCCAGCATCACCCCAGCAGCCGAGCATCGGAAAACAGCGCACAGAGGGGCCGTGCGCATGCTCGGAAAGGAGTGGTGGTGCCAGGCGATGACGTCACGAGCCGCGACTCATTAGCCACGACTCGTCCGAGCTTTCGCACGGCCGGTCAGTGCGCTGCCACGGACATATATATATTTGCTTGGACTGGCTGTGAGTTGTTTTTTCTAAACTAAAACCTTAGTTTTCTGGACTTATTGTAATGTTGGCACTTTGTGATAAATAAGTGGGTTTCGGTTGCAGCTTGGGCACTCGGTTTCTAAAAGGTTCACCATCTGGTTTAGGAGAAGCATCTAAAGCTGACTTTAAAAGAGGGGACACCTTCCAACAGAGGACTGTCCTCTCTAAAAGAGGATACATATACACCCAGGGGTCTTAACAGGGAAGGAGAGACGAGTGCTGTGGTGAAATTTCATGCAATCCACTCCTCTAGCATTTGTGAACTCCCTTTGATGCTCAGCCCTCTCTCAGAAAGCGAGCCCAGCAGAGAGAAAGCCTGCAAACATTCAAGGAAGGAAGGAAGGAAGGAAGGAAGGAAGGAAGGAAGGAAGGAAGGAAGGAAGGAAGGTTGGTTGTGAAGCCAGCGACTTCCTTCTGTACCACGTGGTTCAAAAGGAAGGTGCTACTTGCAAGCAGCTGCATGGAGCCACCCCTGACACGGGGGGTGTGCGCACCAGGAATTCGGATTCATGGCCATGACAAAACAGACCAGAGTCCGGCAACCCGAGATCTGGGAGCCTGACAGATTTCCCAAAGATTCCGCAGATGTTCCCACAGGAGGCTGCGGGTGCAACAGCACTGCCACTGGAGACCCCAGGCGGGAGGTCCTGGGAGTGTGAGAGGCGACCCCGGGGGAAAGCCGCCCAGAGCCCCCCAAAATCTGGAGCTGGCTTGAGTTACAGCACTAATACAAGACATGTCCAGGCTGGACTAACAATGAAATAGATGCAATCCCTCTTTTACACACCTCAGTTAACAATGCATATAATTTCCACCACTTTGCTCCACTCACCTTTCATAACCACCCGAGTTCCAGGCCCAGTTTTCACATCTTTGTCATCCCCGATACCTTTCTTCTGCTTCACACAGTAGTAAGTGCCGGCATCCTCCGAAGTGACATTTCGGATGACGATGGAGAAATCCGTGTCGGAGTCCTTGTTGGTCCTCAGGACTCGCTCAAACCATCCGATCTCTGCATAGATGAGCTTCCGAGCGGGACCTTCTCCCAAGAACCATTTCACAGGTCCCGGTAAAGTTGCCCCCGTCACGGAACATCCGAGGATCAGTGTCGCTCCTGCTCGTACCTCGACAACGTCCTGTGGCTGGACCACCGTGAGCTCCTGCCCTGAAAATCAGCACACCCATCTGCTGTTACACCTCCTCCAAGGCATCCTCCACTGTTCTGGATATCAACAGTAGTCAGCAAAGCCCTGGTTGCAGAGAGTGGCAGCTATAGCACCCATGCATTCTCATAAATATATATGCAGTTTATTTAATATATTTATACCCCACCTCTTTTCCTTCCAAGGAACTTATTTATTTATTATTTATTTATCGATTTATATCCTGCCTTTTTCCTACAAGGGCTCAAGGCAGCTGACATCATTCTCCTCCTCCATCTTATCCCCACAACAACAACCCTGTGAGGTAGGTTGGGCTGAGGGTCTGTGACTGGCCCGAAGTCACCCAGTTGGCTCCATGGCTGAGCGGGGACTAGAACCCAGATCCTCTGAGTCCCAGCCCCACGCTCTTAACCACGACACCACACGGGCTCTCCTCTTTATCAAAATTATCTATCAATCTGTCTGTCTGTCTGTCTGTCTGTCTATCTATCTATCTTTCCATTTATATCCTGCCTTTTTCCTACCAAGGGCTCAAGGCAGCTGACATCATTCTCCTCCTCCATCTTATCTCCACAACAACAACCCTGTGAGGTAGGTCGGGCTGAGAGTCTGTGACTGGCCCAAAGTCACCCAGTGGGCTCCATGGCCGAGCGGGGACTCGAACCCGGATCCTGTGAGTCCCAGTCCCATGCTCTTCACCACGACGCCACACTGGAATGCAAGGTACCCTGTGTAACTCTCCTCCTTTTCCCAGTCTTATCTTCACAACAACAACCCTGCGAGGTAGGTTGGACTGAGAGTCTGTGACTGGCCCAAGGCCACCCAGTGGGCTCCAGAGAACTAAACTCATCCCTGCCTGCCACCTTTGGGCTGCTCTCCCAACACACGTCCCCACAGATTGTGGTCTCGGCCATGCTGCTCCCTGGTTCAGACGCAGCAACAACCCGGTTTCCCCATGAAAGAATGAGAGGAAGCGAACGATCGCGCTGCCTCTCTTTGCCCTGCTGTGGCTAAACCACTTGTGAGTGCTTTGCTCAAACCGCGAACTCTGGATTGCTGGAGGAAAGAAAACCTGGAGCTGGAACCGGGGATTTAATCATAGATTCCAAGTCTGGGTTGTTTCTCCTGCATATTCACAACAATCCAATTGTAAAAAATCAGGCTGGAGTGCGTTCTTTGTTTGCATGTTCATGGCGTGTTTGCACCGCTCTTTTACAACAAAAAATAATTTACAAACATAAAAGACTGCATAAAATATAGAAATCTAAATGGTTCAACTATTTTATGCAACAGAACTAGAGTAAGACCTGGCAGCAATATTAAGGTTTAAAATATGATACAGAGTTTAAACAGACTGGAACTAGAATTTCTGGGGGAATTGCTGTTAGACATCTCCTTGTGTACAAACCTAGGCCGAATTTGCATCTCAGAACAACTCAAGGTTTTTCAGAACTGGGTTTAGGTTGGTTCAAAAAACAACAGTCATCCCGCTGTGTACTGTTAAACCACTGAGACGTTTCAGTCTGAGCACAAATAACTTTCCAGATTTCGGAAAGGAAAAATAACCAGAAGGTTTCTATTATTCATTATTTCCATGTTCATTTGTTTGTTAAGTTTGTAACTCTCCTTTCCAACAAATGCTGCTCAAAATGGCTAACAGGATGAAAAGCAGGCTATCCAATATTATAAAATGCAATAGAAAGCAAAGAAAATGCAATATGAATGTATTGGCGGGGGTGGGGTTGTTCTTCTGCATGGGTGAACAGGCGAGTCCACAGGGCATCTCCCAGTGCATGAGCTTCCCGTCCAAAGGTCCAGACCTGATGCTCCGTGCCTTCCCCAGCTCGGGATGCAGGTCCCACGGATGGGAGCTGCCGTCATGCTTCCTGAGGGGACCGAGCCCACGAAGGCTGAGCTCATCGGTCCCCAAGATGGTGCTCACAACCCAGGGACCACAGGTCAGGTTCTGCAGGGCTCTTCTGACTTTCTCATCTTTCTGCCTGGATGCCAACGCGTGCATCTCTCCAGACTTCCTCAAGGGCTCATTCCGGCAGATGGTCGGTCATCATACGCGGTCATTTCTCATGCAAGACAGCTTTTCTCCTGCAGAGTGACCGATAAGAGGGACGGGGCCCGGCTTGGGGAAGGGCAGTGGAGCTGCCGGTGGTCGTGAACAAGCTGGTGGTCTGGACCAGCAGGAAATGCCCTTTGCCGTGCTCTGCACCAATCGACTGGAAGGAAAGAAATGGGACATTTTTTTCCAAGGAAGGAAGGAAGGAGCTTGCCAAATGGTGGCAAGTGTCCCAGCAGGGTTTACAACTGAGCTGATACAATCGGGATTCGAGTTCAGTGATTCCAGCACCCCTCCCTGGTGCCCTTGAGTGGCCAGAGGCCAAAGAGAACCAAGGCAATTGCTTAGAAATGGGAATTTCCAAGGCAGGGATCCTTTCTCCCAAACATTCATTCTCAGACCATTCCTCTCAGAGGAAAAGGCCACCCACATCAAGGGGGCTTCCGGGGGGCGGGGTCCCATCACACAGACTTCTCCTCACCAGCCACAAGTCAGCCAAGGCTGGTCTTCATACGGTGACCCACCGATCACACTCAAATCGTTAGAAGCAGGGCATTGCCGGTAACTCCGCAACATTATAAGGTTCTGAGCAAGGGGCTCAGTGACAAAGCACAAGACGCATTTAAAATCGTGTATAAAATGACTGCACGTATAAAAGTGATTTACATGCTACAACCAAATCCCATACACAGCTGAGAGGCAGTACAATTTTACAGCAACTTTGTAAAATGAAAGTTACAATTCCCTTCCGGGGGGTCAAAAATAAATCAAGAAGTGGCTGCATGCAAGGTCACAACTATGTACGTGTGTCCGCTCAGCCACAAGCCTGTGGCAAAGCCACATTTCCAGAGAAGGACCACAAATCGCACATTCAGAACTGCGCCCTTCAATGCAGAACCTTGTGGCTCTACTCGCGCCATCCAAGGGCCGCTACTGCCCTGCCCTGCCAGGCTCTGCTTCAACCAGTGGCCCGTAAATTAAAAATTTGCCAGGCCGAAGCGCTACGGCGGAAGGTGCCAGTGAGTCCTTTTAAGGTGCAGTGACCCAGACCCTTAGCAGCTGAAATTTATAAATACGTTTTTGCATCCTGAGATGTGGGGGTAGATTGGTCTGTCCTATGGGGCCAGGGGCTGTCTGACCAGCCACAGGCCAGTGGGGCCCAGGGGCAGGCTGGAAGCTTGCTGCTTGGGCAGGGGAGGGGAGGGGAGATGAGCCCAGTCCGGTCCCTGAGCCCCCAGTGCGGAGTCCAGAGAGATGGGCTAGCCAATCAGAGGGCCTGCGTGGATGTAGGAGGCCTGGTCCTCCAGAGGGGCAGAGCATTACAGGAAGGGCAGGTTCTCGTCTGGCTTCTCGTCTGGCTTCCGTGAATCACTGTTCATGCACAGAGACACTTTGTCTGTTGACCAGAGTTTGCAAGCTACATGTGGGAAATCAAGGTCCCTTATGCTAAGGGGCTACCTGTTGTTTGAAAGGGCTGGTGGCGGGGGGGGGGGGGGGACCCAGCTCCCCACAACAACCTTGGAAGGGGAGTGCAGGATGGGACCCTCCCTCTCTGCAGCCTTGCAACCAGGATGGAGAGTCCCACGCTGGCTCTCCTCTTTGCTCAGAGAGGAGGAAAAGGGGGCATTTCACAGGCTGGAGGAAGTGGGCAGAAGAGGTCAGAAAGCACCCAGTCCTTATAGGCAGGGAACCGCAGCCACCCAGAAATGCCGAGATCGCATCAGCCACTCATCCGTCCCTACCGACTTAGGTGTGGCAGGAGACCTGGAAGCCTCCCGTTCAGGGTTTTTCTCTCTTTGAGGGCATGATTAATCGGTTTCCAAGCCAAAGAAAGCTACAAGCTTTGTACAAATCTCCAAGGGGCACCACCTCCTCCTCTAATTCTCCAGCAAGAAAGCCCCTTCCATGGAGGACTTCTGATTTTTTTAGAAAACTACAGAATCTCCACAAAAAGAAGGGCAGGGGTGGTGTGTGGGGGGGAGCATGATCTACCATCTAGCTTTTGGGGACTGATTATGCAAGGGTGTTGGAGCAAGGGCAAAGCCCCGACTGGCAGAACTCCTCCTGGCCCCTCCGAGTTCCCTCTGCATCCCCGTGGATCACCTCTGCACTTTGCCCCCATAGGCACACCTGGTGGGTGCTTATTTTCCCCAACGGTGTGGAGATGCACGCCAAGGCGGCAATGCTTTGCTCATTTGTACAGGACGAAGACCTGTGATTCCACTAATATGAATGGCTGGCTGGGTGCAGGGGCCTCGCTCTGGGGCCTTGTTTCTGCCTCTTGCTCCCTGCATCTCCCTGGGCTAGGAGGCAAAGCCGTTTGTGTAAAGGAGGAAGCAATCAGGGAGCAAATGTGGGGAAAGCCCAGGACCGAAGCAAGATGCAGACTTCTTCCTTCACCAGACAACCAACTGCCAAACTGGTCCTTCTCTGCTTGCACAATTTCTTATTCACACTTCTTCAGTGTATTCCCTGCTCCTTCCTCTTTTGGTGTCTGAACTTGTGAAGTACACAGGAAAAAGGGATTCAAAACTACATGAAAATGGCTTGCACAATTGTTGCGTATTTCACTGCCTGTAGAAAGTGATCAGTGAAATCACATCGGTGGAATAAAAGAGGGGAAGGAAACCCAGTCCAAATAATGGGGGAACTGTTTTAGAATCCATTATGCTTGGGAGAGTCCCAGGCAGAAGGAAAAAAGACCAACTATGAGATGGATTGACTCTGCAAAGAAAACCACAGCTTGAATTGACAAGAGCTGAACAGGATTGTCACGGAAAGGATGTTTTGGAGGGCTTCCATTCATTTGGTTGACAGACCCACGGTGGGCATGTCATGAGTGGACCTGGCTGGAGCCGGGGGTCAGACTAGATGGCCCAGGAGACCCCTTCTGACTCTCCCTGTTTCTATGTTTCTATAAGTCAGATACAA